TGGAGGTGAAGTAGATAACGGAGGTGACAAATGGAAAGTTTCAGAAGTTAGTTGAGATGTCTGAGCCATCAGGGATGTAGACGGTCTCAAAGTTAGAGGCAGGATTTTTCTCAGAACCATATTAGCAATAAGGTTAAGCAGTTCAGTAAAAACAAGTAATACGCAGATTCAAAGTAAGAAAAATTTCAAACCGGAAATCGCTTTCACTTCTTGCTGAAAAGTATCAATCCAACGCCATTTTAGTTTCACTTTTCCTCATTCCTCCACACGTACGGGGAGAAACTTGTTATAGAAGTTAAAGTAAAGTCAAAAATAAAAAGCAAACTTCCAAAGTTGGTTCATCTGCTTACAAGTAAACTCACAATTAACTTCAAGTTGCAGCGGCGGCGGCGGCTTCTTGCTTCGCCGAAGCGAAGGCGTCCTGGATCGCGGAGAATCCTCGGGGCTCCGGAGGAGTTCTCGCCTACATCGTCCATATAGGACGACTCGGGAACTCAACTCCTATCCCGGGCAGCTCACCTATCCCCTTATGCCCAGGGGAAAGGTATCAAGCCGTTTGACAGCTGATGCTGGCTGTCAAACCGGCTTTTACGCAAAACAGGCGGGAGGCAGCAAACAGCTGCGACCAGCGAAATCGCCTGCCACCGGAAGTCCCCTGTATTTTATTAAATTTATTAAATAATTAAAAGTATTGTAGGAATTTAAAACATGTAACCAAGGGGAAATATTCCACGTTACTTATAGCACCCCGTTAATTAAAATACTTGTAGGTATATCAATAGAGACAATGCTCTTGTTTTCTCAAAGGCAAAAACCTCAGAATCAGATGGAGAAGAGAACCCTGGAGATGAATGGCATCTTCATAAACCATTAGCTTAGAAATGTGTAGGTTTTGCAGGGGTTAAATCAGTCTTCCCCAAGCTAATGTTCTCTAGAGGTGTACTCTCAGAATTTCCTAGTCAGTCTGAGCAGTTCTGGCCATTGTTCAGAATTCTAGGAGTTGACAACACATTTGAAAACCACTCAGCTTGGGAAAGAATTTGTTAGGGGTGTCACAGGAAAGGTAATTAGGCTGAACCGCCATAATAAATGGCCTTCCAACTTGACCTCTTAAATTGGCATCCAAGGCGAAGATTCTCAAGTTTGTGCCAAGTGCCTGTGATTCATGTTCCAGGTCTTCCCATTTCCCACTACCTTCTCGATGACCAGATTATGGCAATGTCAAAATGAAATCACAATATTCTACTAAGTATAATATCTTGAAACGACCTGTTGTTAATATCGGTCTTCTCTAGAGGGCATTTAAGTAGGCAACAGAGAATTCAGGAAGACAAGTTTTGACTTGGTTGATTTTCTGATTTCCTTCTCATAGGCATCAAGTGTGCACACTGGCCAAAAGTGGGACCAGAACACAGGATCTTGGCCAATCCAATGCAGGAATTTGTTGGGAGAACTGGAGAAGTCAGCCAACACCATGAATATCTGTTTCATCACTACAAGAAAAAATTCAGAAAAACCTACAAGAACAAAAAAGAGATAGAGCACCGGCGACACAACTTCATCCACAATATGAGGTAAAGGAACCAGCAGAGATGTAGAGCAGGAAAGCTAGAATTCCACAATTTTCCAGGTTCTGCTGCTTGACCACCAAGCAGATTCTACAATAAAGGATGAAGGATCAACCTTTTACTGGTCAAGATCCAAATTTAATATTTTGAGGACATTTATGTCGCTTATTCAACAATTACATGTTAAGGAAATAACATGTTAAGTAATTACATTCTAAGCCCCAAATAAACTACAATACACTTTACTGTGATGAATGGACCCAGCCTATTTATTTATTTATTTAGAAGATTTATATGGTCGCTCACCCTCGTATATTTCTTCATCTTATGCCGGAAAAAGAAATGTAGTGGATCAGCTCCTTTATCTGGCAAACGGGATTGATGGGGTACAAACTCTGGTATTTGGCTCTTGAATTCCAGCACTTCATTCACATTTAAATATTTAGTTACTATTCTATTCACTTGTGTGCCAATTTAATGCTTCGGTCTTCTACTCAGAGTGAAAATGGATGCTTCTAATGCAAAATCTTCTAGCATCAATTCAATGAAACTCAGAGTTTTTCTTTAAAATGTATGAAAAGAAAGCCCGGAGGACACAGTGGAAGGCAATCCCTTTAAAATTCAATGCACAGGGCAGAATAAATGCATATTATGCCAGCTATACAAGCCAGTTTCGCTATGGTTTTGTCTGCATCAGAGAAAAATAGGAGAACCGCTACAGGACTATCTGTTCACACCCCTATCCACCCCCAATTAAATAGATTCTGCAGGTTTTTGGCAGAAATAAGAACCACTAGTGAGATTAAATATGTCCGGTCCAGACAACGGTCCACCCTTTTCCTTCTTCAAGTGAAAACGCATCTTCTTCTCTTTCTACATGTTCTTCCAGGTATATCCACTCCAAGAATCGAGCCAACCTCTCCTTCAAACTGGCAGTGAACCATTTAGCAGATCAAACACCAGAAGAGATGGCCGTGATGAGGGGGAGGCTACAGACTGATGAACCCAGGAAAGGATGGGCTTTCCCATCTGACAGCTACAGTGGTCTCACCTTGCCGGAGAGCTTAGACTGGAGGCTTTATGGTAATTGTGACACCTGGCTGGTTTTTGCTCAGCTTAGGCTTCACAGGAACAACTAACAAAGCGACTGCGCTTTCTGTCCTTGCAGGTTCCCTTGAATGTCCAAAGAAAGTGTCTTAGAAACTGCAGGTCGGGCGGGGGGGAGGATTTGTGACATCAGATTTTACCCTCTGAAAATGAAATCCTGCTTCTATCAGAGGAAAAGAATTCAGATTCTCCACAGACCACAATGATTCTGTCCAAGTCCTTATTTTGGGTTTCAGCCCATTAAAATCCACACTTTTGTTTAAGTTTCAGCCCAGAGAATTTTCCTTTAATCTATTGCCTTTTGCATACGGTGTTACACAGAATGCTGGTGTTTCCTTAATTGTTATTGTGACAATCCTTCCTTCTCCTTCTCAATAAAGGGGCAGTGACACCCGTTAAAGATCAGGCAGTGTGCGGATCCTGCTGGAGCTTTGCCACAACAGGAGCTCTGGAAGGGGCCCTCTTCCTCAAGGTGAGACCCCAATGGCTGATTGTTGACAGTGATCACTGTTTGGTCTAGTCTGGTTAAGACACCAAGCTGGAAACCAGGAAACTGTGAATTCTAGTCCCACGTTAGACATGAAAGCCAGATAGGTGACTTTGGGCCCATCACTCTCTCTCTCAGCCCAACTCACCTCATGGGGTGATGGTTGCAGGGAATGTAGGAGGAAGAAAGAATATTGGGGATGTTTGCTGCCTTGAGTTATTTATAAACAATAATAAAGACAGGATATAAATAAATAAAAATAATAAAATAAATCTCTTCTATAATGCTAGTTATTCTTTGGGGACCATAAACCGTATCCTACACTTGCATTTAGTTTATCTATTCCTAAATTTTTAAAAGATTGTTGTTGTTGTTGTTGTTGTTGTTGTTGTTGTTATTATTATTATTATTATTATTATTATTATTATTATTATTATTATTATTATTAAAAACGGATGCTGGCCTGCAGTTAAGACCAAGTCTTCCTATTTCTAAATTATGGCTCTGCCAGTTATATACAAACTGTAGGTGGATTATAAAGTGTAACCAGGCCTATCTCACAAATTGATTATATTTACCCAAAATACTTAGCTGAAGCATGGTTTACTGGAGGTCATAATTGGTGGTTTCACTGAACATACTAAGCCACAAGTTAGCAAATCGCATTCTTCATTTAGCTGGTTGCCTGCTTTGAGGAATAAGGCTAAGACCAAGGGGACTTATTCTAAGCCCTGCAGTAGAAGCAGCAACCTACAGCTCCTCTTTCATCCCAAGGCACTGCACTCCGTAGAGCCTCTGGGCCATCCACCCCTTCCATTGGTAGAAAGTCTCACCTCACCTCCCAGACTCTCCTAGCTACCACTGCAGCCATGTTCTCAGCCTTTGGAGATCGACTGCCATGAAGATGGTCATTGGTGGACTTCAGGGTGGGACTTGAGACTGGAAATAGCAGGAGGTGGGATTTGAGGATGGAAGGAGGGGCATGGTTATGGTGTGGTCGGTTCTCTTCTGTTCTTTCCTTGCAGACAGGAGTGCTCAACCCATTATCTCAACAAGTCTTGATCGACTGCTCCTGGGGCTTTGGAAACCAGGCTTGTGATGGGGGCCAGGAACCACATGCATTTGAATGGATTATGAAGCATGGAGGGATTGCCAGTGCTGAGGCCTATGGGCCATACATGGGTCAGGTAAATCTAGGGCAGTTTTACTGATGACCTCCTGGGGCTCTCCTGGTGCCTCTAAGGTCTGTTCAGACTACAGTTCTAGTTAAAGTCTTGGGACATCAATTAAACATATAGTCGGAACCCATTTGAGGATATCATGCTGGGAAGACTGATTTATCCAGTTTTATGTTTCCCCCTTTTGGCTTAGATCGGGGGTCTTCAAACTTGGCCCTTTTATGACTTGTGGACTTCAACTCCCAGAATTCCTCAGCCAGGCACGCTAGCTGAGGAATTCTGGGAGTTGAAATCTACAAGTCATAAAAGGGCCAAGTTTGAAGACTCCTGGCTTAGACTGTAGGTCTGTATTAGAAAATCTGGGTTCAGCTCTCAGTATCATGGTTTTCTTTTTATACTTATACCAATGTAGTCTTCAAAGAGGTGAAAGTATGTCCACTGTTTCCCTCTTTCTCAAATTTTGGGGAATCTGAACTAGAAATAATAGATTGTTGAAACTATAGTCATTCTCATATGAACTTTACCAACATGGTAACCATAATTGTGAGATTGAAGCCCTGGCCCCTTTTATTGTGTATTGTGGCAAGTGTAAAAAAAAGTGTTGAAGCTTCAAATTGCATGAGTGTAACTACCATCTTCTGGTTTTTTTAACTTCTTCTGCATATGCCCCTGCTTCATGCTGTTGAAACCATCAGAGAAAGGTTTTCAAACTGCTACCTCAAAGACCCAAAGATGATAATGAGTTTGTGCAACTCTCTCTCCCTGGATTAAAAAAAATGATTTTATTAGCATTAGGGTTGGGCAAGAACTTAACACCACTGCTTATATTTAACTTAAATTTTCATTGCCAAAGTCAGTACTGTGGTTGCTGTGCTGCAGAATAGCTGCTATACGTAGAAACCTAATGTTTATTTGATCACACTCTACAGGTAGTCCTATGACCACAATTGAGCCCAAAATATCCATTGCTAAGTAAGGCGGTTGTTAAATGAGTTTTGCCCCATTTTATGACCTTTTTGCCACAGTGAAGCAAATCTCTGCAGTTGCTAAGTGAATCATGTGCTCATTAAACGAATCTGGCTTCCCCTATTGTCTTTGCTTGTCAGAAGACAGCTGGGAAGGTTACAAATTGTAAATCACATGACCCCGGGACACAGCAACGGTCATAAATACATGCCAGTTGCCAAGTGCACAAATTTTGATCATGGGGATGCTGCAACGATCGTAAAACCGATGGTTTTCAGTGTGGTTATAACTTTGAATGGTCACTAAATGAATGTTTGTAAGTTGAGGACTACCTATATTTTGTTATCCTGTTTCCTGCAGTGATCTGCTAGATGCTTTGGGTCTTTCACAAGCAGAACAAGGGTGCAAAATATGCCCAACATATGCAGTTATGGAGCTCATTGATTTAGATCACTTTGATTTCTAGGCACAATGTTATATTCATAAGAACTTCTTTCTCAAAATACGAAAACCATCCATGATTCTTAAGATGTGGACTCTAGCCAGATCCTGCCAAATCATCTCTTTCCTTAATTTTGCACAAAACACTCAATTTTGTTCAAGGGCACCTAGTTCAATTTGCACAAATTGTGGTCTGAAAACAAGGAGGGGAATGTGATGTTTATGTACTCCAAGTACTTGTGCTTATATTATTCCTCACAGATAAGTATCTTTGAAAGTTATCAGAAAAGCAATAACTTAGAGATAGAATATTGCTTTGTATGCACAAAGGGTTTAGATTTTAATTTTTGCTGTATCCAGGTTGAGATAGTTGAAATTTTGAAGAGCTGCTGATAGTCAGTGTTGACGATATAGGGCTAGATCAAGGTTCCCCAAAGTGGCCAATATCAACCATCAATGGGACCATCCAAAGGGATGATGTTGATGATGTTATTCATAGTAGTAATAAAGTAGTGTCTATCAAGTTATTTTCATATAATAAATGCTTGGGAGTTGAGGAACAATCTGAAACTTGGGGTAGATGAGCTAAAGAGTTTGGGAAGCCCTGAGCTAGATGGATAAACGATCTGATCTGGTGGCTTTCTGGGTTGATAACAAAGGTGCACATTAGTGGCTGAGATTGCTGTTAACTTCTGTGAAGTGAAAATGAGGGTACATTGTCTCTCCCCCCCCCCCCAGAATGGCTACTGCCACTACAACCAATCGGAGCTGATAGCACCAATCGCTGGCTACATTGCTATTACCTCCCAAAACATCACTGACCTTAAAGCTGCTCTGTACAAGCATGGCCCCATCGCAGTGAACATTGATGCCTCCCACAAGTCCTTTGCCTTCTACTCCAATGGCATTTATTATGAGCCTAACTGTGGTGAGTTTTTTTTCACTTCTTGGTTCACGGTCTTTTTCCCAAGCGGGGATCTGGATGTAGGAAATCTATTGCAGCAACTCACTGAACTGTCAGGTTTGTTCTCCTTTCTCAATGACAGGGATGCTCAATTTATTCCATGCTGGTAGGCCAGGAGTCTTCAAACTTGGCAACTTTAAGACTTGTGGACTTCAACTCCCTGAATTCTTCAGCCAGCCAGGGCTTGCTGAGGAATTCTGGGAGTTGAAGCCCACAAGTCTTAAAGTTGCCAAATTTGAAGACCCCTGTGGTAGGCCCATGGGAAATTTTGAGAGTATCTCATAAGCATGCTACTGTATGTGAGTGACTGCTCTGAAGAAGAGCTGTCTTCTGTTTAGAAAGGGGCTCTCATAGGGAGAGTTACCAACAGACAAAATGAGAGTCTAACTCCTTCAAGCCTGGAGCCTTAACCACAAAATTAAGGTCAAACTGGTCCATTTCAGTTAACTTCTCTTTCCCCATTTCAGTTTTAGAACCTTTCAAAAAGATTGGATGGGTCTCATAAGAAGATTTCATGAGTATTACACTAGGCTAGGGACTTCCAAATTATGGGAAAGGCATGGTTGGAGTAATCATTATGTTTCCTTCCTCTCCACAAGATTGAACATTTCAGTATCACTTACCCCATTGGAACATATTAATTCAGAACTGATAGTGAAGACTTGTGTTTCATTAAGATACGAAATTTGCTCAAACTGAATCCCTGTGTTCTAACCAAACCAGTATTTTTCTGAAAGGAGCAAGGTAATAGAAGGAGGCTGGAGTATTTTGTGCTGAACTAGGGACTTGCAGCTTATAGCAGAAGAGCAACAAGAGAGAGAATGAGAATCTATTTCTCGGGGGGGGGGATAAAAATATCTTTAAATCTGTCCAGTTTCTTCATATATGTGAGTTGTGGAAGGAGATGAGTTAATTCTTACACTTTTTCTTCTAGGAAATACAACCATGCAGTTAGATCATGCTGTCCTAGCTGTAGGCTATGGAGACCTCCAGGGAGAACCCTACTGGCTCATCAAGAACTCTTGGTCTACATATTGGGGCAACGATGGCTACATCCTCATGTCCATGAAGGAGAACAACTGTGGAGTGATTTCTAGTGCCACCTATCCAATCCTGGCCTAACAGCAATGGCTGTCATGTTCAGCAAAAGACATCTGGTTGTATTGTATTAGAAAATTCCATAGCAATTTTACAGATCACTCAGCTGAGTTGCCAATTATGCTGCAAAATGCTATAGCATTGCAAGTCTGAACATGTGTCTGTGTGCACTTATCTTAACTTACCATTCCCCTATGTAACACAAATATTGAGACCACTGTACAATGGATAATAAAACCATTAATACACTTGTGTACAGACCACAATCATTTAGATCACTGGGACAGAAAATGGGAGGGAAAACATAATACATCATCATAAATTCCATTTCCAAGAACATAATAGATATCATGTAGCAAGCAAATATATGTAGATGGAATCAAGTTATTTATATTGCTGATGATTCCTGAGTAAGATTATTAAAGTACATGGCTGTTATGCAAAAAGCTGATAATTCTCAGTCAGTTCTAGCATGCAGAAGCTTTTTCTTGGTACCTCTGCATTTTAATGAAAACAACCACGAGTGCTATTACTTGGACTAACTGATGTTCCTGATGTTACGTTAGTCTTGCCACTGTGGTTTCTAAAGTATGGCTTATGGTGTTTAGCATATTGCAAACTTAGCCAATTATGTCAGATTTATAAACTGTGGCTAAATAAATAATAGTGTAATATCAGAAGCCAATCAATAAAAAAATTGATTTATACGGCTGATCTCTCTTCTGTTTTCTATTTCTTAAGAAATATGTAGCTTACAACATAAGATCAAAACATTTGACCTTAACATCTGGAGTTTATGATTGAATTTGTTTTGCAATAAGTGACTATGTTCAAATGATATGTTAAGGGACAAAACCAACTACCTGTTTAGCAAATATGTTTGTACAACTCAGAAAATTAGAAATATTGAATATAAACAGTGTAGTTTGATCGATTTCTAGCCTAGCATCTTAACTACTATACCAAATTGGCCCTCTGAGTGAAAAGCATACCGGTAGTCTCTAAAATTATATTACACATAGGTCAAACTTTCTTTAGTAGCTGCATCCACGAAAGCATTTCTCTTACAGGAGAGGATGCAGAAACCGAGTGTTGGCATCCTCCGTGATTATGAGGCTCAATTCGGAGGATCTCTAAGGTCCCTTCCATGACGATTCTAAGCCTCGCTTTCTGCACGCCCTAAACACGGAAGGAGCAAGAAGAAGGCAGGGGGGAAAGGTGACGCTGCTGCTACTTCTGCTTGCCGCACAGTGTCCCCATTTTGGTCAGTCCGAGATTTAGGGTCAGAAGAAAGGCACGTCCATTTGCTAGCCAAGACTTGGTGTCCCCCCCCCCCCCGGAGAGATGACGGTACATATTCGGCTGACAGCCCAGCCGAAGCGTGGACACGGCCCAGTCCGCGCTGCCTCTTTCGATGCAACACACAATTTGGTCCTTTCGAGGCAGAAATTCCCCCGTTCTTCTGGCACCTCGCTTAGAACCAGGCTGGAGGCACTCTAGCCTCACTTCTTCCTTGCTCTCTATGGTTAACGAAACGTCGCGCGGCTTATTACGTCCACCTCGGATGGCGCCCTCTGGTGACGTCTGAGCGCAGCCCCGCTTCTCTCTTGCCGCTTCCCCAAACAAACAAAGCCACCCCGCCTCCCCCTTCTGAGTGACGTCTGCGGAGACCCAATGGGCCTCAAGATAGGGCCAAAGCGCCCGCCTCCCAATTGCTGAATGGCGTCGGCGCTGGCCAATGAGGTCGAGAGGAGGAAAGGAAGACTGCGTCGGGTTGGGTGAAGGCTACTCTTGTCGGGGCGGGCGGCGGAATGGCGGCGCTTTACGCTTGTACCAAGTGCCACCAGCGGTTCTCCTTCGAGGCGCTCAGTCAGGGGCAGCAGCTCTGTAAGGTCAGGGCCGGGTGTGGGATCGGGAGAAGCCGAAGGGTGAGCCGGGTGAGGGGAAGTGGCGTCGGTTTGTAAGCGGAAGCTATGAATTTGAATCTAGCTTCGATTCCCCCCTTTCCCTCCCCCGGAATCCGTCCTTACTGCCTCCGGAGTGAGGCTGAGGGCTCACGAGGGGCTGTGCTGCCCATGGCCGCCTTGAATTTTCAAACAAAACAGCGCTGTGGCCTCCTTCACAGGGTTGTTGTTGCGGTACTTAGGCAAAAATAGGTCTCCGAAGAGGTGACTTTAGGCCAGTCCCTCTCTCTCAACCCAGCTCCCCTCACAGGGTTGTTGTTCTGGGCAAACTAGGATCAGGAGTATCGGGTATGTCGCCATCTTGAGTTTACTATCCCGCCTTTTTTTACGGTGTACCTATATATATATAAAAAAACCTCAAGGCAACGAACATGCCTGACACCTCTTGTATTCTTCACAACAACAGTCCTGTGAGGTAGGCTGAGCTCAAAGGGTCTGGCCCAAAGTCTGCCAGCTAGCTTTCATTTCAGGACTAGAACTCCTGGTTTCTAGGCCGGCATCCTCGCCTGTCTCTTCAGCAAAGGCAGGAGAAAAATATAATAATTGGGATTGCTGAAGGAAGGACAAAATACTTGTGTAAGGGCATATGTATGTATGTATTTCCTGCCTGCTCAAGAAATCAGACAAATTTTGATTCACCCTCAGCCAATTGCATTAAAACATAGTCAATCAGAGGAATGCAAATGAGGTTTGCCCCATTTCATCCACACAAGAGGAATATGATTATTTCAGTTCCAGCTCCGAAATTCAGAGTAGTGATGTTTACAGCAATGTATTTAACCTTGTTGTTGATTTAATCCTGTTTTGGTTTGCACAGGATACTAAATGCTGAAAAATCAATAACACTAATCAAATTTAATACATTGTATCAGTGTATTGTGTCTGACCTGAAAATCAGGAGTCTGGTAACATCTTTTCTGATACAGTAACAGATTTTATTAAAAGGCAGAAGCTTTTGGGAGCTGCATTTGATGAAGGCTGCGACTCATGAAAGCTTTTATCTTTACATAAAATGTTTAAATCGGAAAAAGTGCTACTGATTCCTTCTGATATTTTTTTTCACCACGTAGACCCAGGAGTGTCAAACTCGCCGTGACACATGACGTGTCACAACTTTTTTTCCCCTTGCTGGACCTGGGGTGGGCGCAGTTTGACACCCCTGACATAGATTAATACAACTCTTCATTTGAACTAGTTATTATGACATGGTTCAGTGTGTTGTGTAAACACCACCAGTGAGTGGAGACTGCAGTCTAAGCCTCTATGGTTGGATAATGTGACTTGCCTCACATCAGCCTTCACCACCACTGCCCTTCCCTTGTACATGCTGCTTACATTTTGGAGAGCTGAAATCCAGCATATCTAGAGGGCACCAGGTTTAGGAAAACTGTATGGAACTGTACTGTGATTTATCTTAAGTTTAACATTTCTTGTCAACCAGTCCTAATGGTTTGCAAATTTGTAGTGTACACATCTAGCTAATTATAGTTGATTCAACAAATCCTGGTTAATGAAAGCATGATTTAATAATATATGAAATCAGCTTCATATGACTACTGTGCTGTACTGGTTCTCCAGGTTTCATATTTCCTAGGAGGGAAATGTATTGAAAAGGAAAAGATGTGTGTCATGAAACTAAGGCCAGTGCCTCAGTTCTCTAGAGCCATCTGATCATCATTGTGCCCATATAATAATCAGGAAGATAGATTTTTTAAAAAAAACCTTAATTGTGCTAAATAGCAATATAACTTACTAGTGACAAAATGGACCTCAGAATTCAAAAGTCTGTATTTACCTGGGAGTAAATTCCACTGATTTTAACTACTTATTTCTAAGGAAAATTTATTCTTTGGGCCATGGATGATGAGAAATGTACCTTGGAAAAGTAATTTGGAATTGAGTAAACAGATGCATTGTGGTTTTAACCCTATAACCATTTAACAGTTTTAGCTATTCCTCCTTCAGGCATTTATTGTTCATTAGCTACTGATTTAATTAAGTTGTGTGTCTAGCAACATAAATTCTGAATGGTGCTTGTTAAATTAGATTTGGGGTATAGTCATTGTAAGTTATTACCTCTTATATACCATTCTTTTACTAAATTGTTCCAGTTTGAAACTGGTGTACAATAAAGTCTATACAGTAATAAGACCTAGGCAATAAAATTAATATTGTGGATAAGTATCCTGCAGAGTTTGAAACCAGTTAGATAAGAGTTAAGAAAAACAATAACGTCTGTTGTTCTGGACTAAATTAAACTGGAGGAGAAAAGGCTCCAGGAGGGCAATTTAAGGATGGAGAAAAATAATGTTGATTAGAGGGAAGATTACTATTTCAGAATCTTTCTGGGCAAAACAAGAGTTAGGTTTTTAAGTGAACCATTAAATTGCATTGGATATTATTACATTATGTTGCTATAGTGATTTGCTTGTGTTTTGTACTCTTGTTTAGAGTTTGATGCAGCTTTCTGTGCTACATGATTCCTAGTGAAGTTTATATTAAATGTCAATGGTTTCTTCTAAGGTATTGATTATGATCAAGAGCAGCTGTATAAAAACCATAAATTTCACTTTTATTACTCTTAATAAAAATTGAATTCAAGCAATCCATTGCTTTTACATGTCTGGGACATTACGTATGGTTCCGCTGATGCTTTTTTCTGGAGTTTGTATGCATTTCAACTCTTTTAACACATCCTTTCTTCTTCAGGAATGTCGAATTGCACACCCGATTGTTAAATGTACCTACTGTAGAACTGAATTCCAGCAGGAGAGGTAAATGTTGCATATGATAAATTATTAAGAAGTAGCAACATAGAATGACTGATGTTGTCCACACAAAAACTTTTCACAGTGTTCTGTTCTTTTATTTCCAACATATTTTGAATACCAGTAAATAGTTCAAAATGTTTGTTAATGACTTGTTGATGTTCAGCCAGACAGGAGAACAGATATTTTGCACTAGCTGTTATGAAAAAACTGTTACGAAAAAATAAAATCAAAATCCTTTCTTCCCCATTGCAGCTGTAACATATAGAACAACTCATCACTTCCACTAGTAACTCCCTGGGATATTGTTAGTGCCAGCTCTAACTTTATGCAAATGTGCTACTAGTATTGGCAGTAACTGCAGGATTGGGATTACCATGTGTACTGCTGTATCCACAATGAAGTCAGATGGGTTTTTATGGCAGTTCTGCACATTCAATATGCCAAATTGCTATTCTGACTTGGACCCCAGTTTTTGGCCAGAAGGGAATTAAAATGGCAGTCAGCAAGGTTACAGTAATTTGTAAAGGTAGCTAGTCCTTGACTTATAACCACAGTTGGGATCAGAATTTCCATTGCTAAGCAAGATGGGTGTTAAGTAAGTCACGCTTGATATTATAACTTGCCTGTTAAGTGAATTAGGAGGTTGTTAGCAAATCCTGCTTCCAACATTAACTTTGCTTGCAGGAGGATGACTGGAAAGGTCACAAGTCTCAATCACTTGAGCCCGGGACACTGTAACCTTCGTAAATATGTGCCGTTTGCCAAGTGCCCAAATAGTGATCATGTGACCTTGGGGGATGCTGCAGTAGACATAAGCAGAGCACTGGTTGTCATTTTTTTCATTTCAATCCTGCTGTAACTCCAACAGGTCACTAAATGAATAGGTTGTAAGTCAAGGACTATCTGTAAATGGAGGCTTTGAAGCAATTCAGCAACTTGCACTCCTGTATGTCTTAAAACATCCTTTGGAGACTGAATCTGAATAGCTGCATGGCCCCAAGCCACATTATCTGATTTCATTTTTTTATACTCTTGTTTTTTCTTTTGCTAGTAAAACCAATACAATATGCAAGAAGTGTGCTCAGAATGTGAAACTTTATGGGACGGTATGTATCAACAATCTTTTCTCCCCTCAGCAATTTGGAGCGGCTACCGATGATATAAAATCATCATAAATAAAAGTAGTAATAAAACAATAGCAGAAAAAGAAAGTAATTCATAGAAATGAGTATTATAAATAGCTATTAAATTTGTATGCTGCCCAACTCCCAACAATTAAAGGATTAGCTGAGATGGGGTAATAGTCTGATAATCAACCTCAGCTACTTTAAGATGTACAGACTTCAACTCTCCGGATTCTCCTAAGCAGAATGCTGGCTGTGGAATCCTGGGAGTTGAACTCCACATATCTTAAAATTGCTGAAATTGAAAAAGACGGTGATAGTAGAACACTTACTGATTTCTGATAAACCACTATAGCTCATGTAGCATGTAGTGATAAATGCTCAGAATTATTGGCCGCTGATACATGTTTTCCATCACTGGCCTAGTGCCTGATAAACAATGAAGTTGTCACAAAGAATGTCTTCATGTAACCAGCTTAAGGCATTTGAGTGTTAGTTAAAGTTACATTCTTAAGTACATTTGTTACATTTCAATTGCCTAAAGATCTTAAAACATGCATTCTTGCTTTGTAAGTTTAAAACAATTTAGCGGAAAATAAGACTAAAAAAATTAAGCTGTGCAAGGGCTATAATACTGTTTCAGTTTGTAAGAGGATTATTTTCCATGGTTCATCAAAGAAGAGTAGCAATTATAGAAAAAGTTAAATACTTGTGGCATTATCAGTTTTCTCCCCCCCCCTCCACTTTTTCTCAATTATTTCATTGAAAAAAGCTTGAAATGCGTTGTTAGGAGCATTTGAGCAGATGGGAGATGACTGCTTATATATTCCAAAGTGATGCTAATCCCCTTGCTGTTTCATCTTCTTTATTATTTAAGCCAAAGCCATGCCAGTACTGCAACATAATTGCAGCATTTATTGGCAACAAGTGCCAGCGGTGTACGAACTCAGAGAAGAAATATGGGCCGCCCCATTCATGCGAACAGTGTAAGCAACAGTGTGCCTTCGACAGGAAGGATGATAGGAAAAAAGTGAGTATCTATGTATGTCCAGTACAGGTAGTCCTCGACTTAACATTTCATTTAATGACCGTTCAAAATTAAAAAAAAGTAACTTATGACTGTTTTTCGCACGTATGACCATTGCAGCATCCCCACGGTCACATGATTCAAATTCAAACACTTGGCAACTGACTCATATTTATGACAGTTGCAGTGTCCTGGGTCATGTGATCACCTTTTGTGACCTGACAAGCAAAGTCAATGGGGAAGCTAGATTCACTTAACAACCGTGTAATTAACTGCAGCAATTCACTTAACAACTGTGGCAAAAAAGGTCGTATAATGGGGCAAAATTCAGATGTTTCACTTAGCAAGATAAATTTTGGGCTCAGTTGTGGTCATAGGTCAAGGACTACCTGTACAGAAAGGATTCTTTATTATCTGTAGACTTGAACCGCATAGTCATTTATTGTACCTACCAGGATCCAGGCAGCAGCTGACTTTGGTGTTAGCCATTTTTTCTAGCTGCATCTTAGCCATTAGGACAGCACTGAAACCATGAATAATAAATTTTATAGGTTTTAGAGGGGGGGACCCTGTGTAAGTTAAGCATTGACTTTTCTTCCCAATCAAGTGTGAATTGAATAAATAGCATTTTCATTAGGAAGGAATTGAAGGGTTGGTATGTATTAAACAGCAGATTTTTTTTTATTTCACTGGGTTTCCGAATGGTTTGATTTTTATTGGAAGAGATGGATGAGCCTGTTTTTCATTCCTTTTGGGTTCACATACATCTTCCATCCTTATTTTGGCAACATTTTTCAGTTGCTATTAAACCACATTAAAGTTTGCATTCATGTTTTCTCTGAAATGATCTTTTGATGCACATTTCTAAGCTGTAAGCAACGTTATATACAACATGATACTATAATATGCAGCTTGGTTCCTATCTGCACATTAATCTATTAACCAAATCCATTAATAAAATCCTATTTCTCTGTTGTTTTCTTTTTCTTTTCAGGTAGATGGGAAGTTACTCTGCTGGCTTTGCACACTCTCCTATAAGCGAGTGCTGCAGAAAACCAAAGAACAGCGTAAGCATTTAAACTCCTCCTCTCGGACAAGCTTGCTGGAAAAGGAGCAATATGACCGACTTAACTGTGGAAGCCACTATAATAGGTATCTTTGCTTTGCACCCGGTTTTCTAGCTGTTCGGAGTTTATTTGATTCAATAATCTTGTTGACGTACGCTAAGCCAAGGTTTGCTGAAGTATAGCTAGTCTTCATTTAACAATGGTAATTGGTACTGCAAACTCCACTGCTAAATGACGTGGTTATAAAGTACAACATAGTATGACGGTGCCGACTTTGGACAATTGTGACAGTTTGTATAAGCGAATACTGTGTTGTTGTTAGATATGACATCACATGATCACCATTTGTGACCTCCTGCCAGCTTCCCCCTAGCACTGATGAGGTTACCTAGTTTGGGTAATGAAATGTCTGCAAGAAAACAGCCAAGTTCTGAGAACACCAAGGACCCCACAGTTCAACGCTGAGCTACAAACATTCTCCTTTATTGACAATGGCTGAAAATTCTAAAATTGTGGTTTAGAATTGGCCAGTTTCCAGGCTGTGGTTAATTTTTCCTCTGTGCTCTTTTTGCAGCCAGAAAACCTTATCTACATCTTCTATTCAGAATGAACTCCCAAAGAAAAAAACCAAGTTTGATGCCATATCAGCCAATGGGGACAGGTAAGCTACTTAAAAGGATATTGGATTTGTCTTTGCTTAAATAAGAAAGGAAAGAAAGGTACCCGTTTTGTGTTTAGAGATTAAAAGTAGAAGTTCCTCAAAATGAATTCTGGGTCATTCTGAAAAGGAAGATAAAGACATCTGTTTCTCCTTCCCCAACTCACAACCCCCCCCCCCCAATTAATGCCACAGTTTCACTCATATGTCTCCTGCAGAGCTGCTCTTTGCCTCTACATATGAAGGCTTTCATTAGCTTGCGAACAATTTAAAGATACGGTTTTTAATAGACCTATGATGCAGAAAAAATTAATGCAGTGTGTTCTCCCCATTGTTCATGATTTCAGTCTTCTTCATTTACTATTTATGTAACAACTGTGCATATTGATGTAATGTTTATTTTACTCTGAATATTGTAGTTCAAGTATTCAAATTATTCCATTTATATCAAGTCAGCACAGGTAGTTCTCATTTAATGTCCACAATTAGGAGCAGTTATTCCATTGCTAAACATCACACTTGCTAAGCAGAACATCATATGGCCATGAAGGACTTACTCACTTAGGCTAAGCGAAACACCACATGACCACAACTTATGATTTTATTTTCTCCTTCTCTATTAACTCTGCTTGTTGCAAGCCGGTTGCAGAGCACACAAATGACAATCATCTGATCAGGGGATGTTGCAGTGGTTGTAAATGAAAGGATTACTCACAAAACTACTTTTTAACACTATCATAACTTACTGAGGCAGTCAGTAAGAAGGACTATATGTAATTGTTAAATTAACCCCCCCCCCCCCCGAGTAGTCTAGTATTGTTATCTATAAATTGCAGAGCAAGGATGCAGGCTGAGGAAGCAAAGCTGCTCTCTATGGAATTCTTCTTTATCAGGCCTGAAGTCTGCCTGAGGAGGCTTTGGTGTTATAGTCACAACATATCTGAAAAATGTCTGATTGGGGAAACGTTCCCTGTGGCCACCAAAAATAGATATTTCAGTGCAAGAATTGAATGAAGGGCTTTCTAAGACACTGTACCATATTCAATTGCAAGTTTGCAGATTTGCATTTAGGCACAAATGATCAGGTTCAAATTATCCTACTTTGGACCCATTATATGAAGACCAACTCTTTAGAGCAAGGGTGTCAAACTGCCGGCCCACAGGCTAGATGCATCATGGCAAAACCGTGTCCACCCCATTGCCGGCAATGGAAAAAAAGCCATGATATGTTGTGACATGTCACGTGACGTGGCGAGTTTGACACCCCTGCTCTAGAGAAAGCTGTAATGCTAGGAAAAACGGAAAGAGGGAAAAGAAGAGCAAGGTGGATGGACTCAGTTACAGAGGCAATGAGTGCATGTTGGGGGACATGAAAAAATAAATTAGGGATAGATCATCTTGGAGAAAATCTATGTGGTTGCTAGTTGATGATATAATCAGATTGCAGCTAACCCCTAATATTCTTCAGTTTATTTAAGCAAATATAGTTTCTGGGTACCAACTGATAATCCAAATTATCTAAAACGAAAGTATTTTAAACCTCTATTAAATTATAGAGGCACCTCTTAATGTTTCGCAGCATCTGAATTTTTCAACCTTATTAATATCCCTACAACTTCTAGAATACTTTTTGGGGAGTTTTGGAAATGAGAACCGGTTTAGCCTAGTGGTTAAAGCATCAGGCTAGAAAGCAGAAGATTCTTGAGTTCTAGTTCTAAGCAGGAAAGCTGGCTGGGTGACTTTTGGCCAGTCACTCTCTCACCTCACAGGGTTGTTGTTATGGGGAAAATAAGAGGAGGGAGGAATATTATGTGTGTTCACTAGCTTGAGTTAAAATAATAAAGGCAGGATAAAAATCTAATATATTCATAAATAAATTTAATTAGAAGTTCTTGCAGTGTTCATACATAGCCACTGGGGGGCAGGCATAAACTGCGAGAAAGAAATTACAGGTAGTCCTTGACTTATGAACACAATTTTTTGTTGTTAAGTGAGACATTTGTTAAGTGAGTTTTGCCCCATTTTATGACTTTTTTGTCTCAGTTGTTAAGTGAATCATTGCAGTTGATAAGTTAGTAACACAGTTGTTAAATGAATCTGGCTTCCCCATTGACTTTGCTTGTCAGAAGGTCGCAAAAGGTGATCATATGACCTTGGGACACAGCAATGGTAAAAAAACATGAACCAGTTGTCAAGCACCTGAATTTTGATCACATGACTATGGGAACGCTGCAAAGGTCATAACAGTGAAAAACAGTCATAAGTCACTTTTTTCAGTGCCATTGTAACTTTGAACGGACACTAAGTGAACAGTTATAAGTCGAGGATACCTGTACTGGCTTGCAGTCAAGCAAAGTTGAGTCGGCAGTAATCTGACTGCAACTATTCTTGCACCCGGGTGTGCAAGATTTCTGCCCCAGTTCTGTCTCTGATATTGAGGTAAATACAGCAGGAAATTGCATCAGATTTGCATCAGATGGGCAAATTTGGAAGGTGGCTAGGCCTTCATTTAAGCAAAAGAGTCCCGCCTTGTTTTTAAATACAGGTAGTCCTTGACTTACACCATAATTGGGACCAGAATTTCTGTTGCTAAGCAGAGTGGTTGTTAAGGGAGTTATGCCCAATTTTACAACACTTTTTGCCACATTTTTTAAGTGAATCACTGCAGTTAAGTGAATCAAGCACTCATTAAGTGAATCCTACTTCCCCCATTGACATTGCTTGTTGGAAGGCAGCTGGTAGCAATCCCATGATCCCAGGATGCTGCAGCCGTCATAAAAACATGCCAGTTGCTTAGTGCCTGAGTTTTGATCATGTGACTGTGGGGATGTAGCAATTGTCATAAGTGCGAGGAACACCCAGTCATATTTTTTTTCAGTGCCATTGTAACATTGAAGAATCACTAAATGGATGGTTGTAAGTTGAGGACTACATGCACTTCTCTGATATCTATAGACAATAAGGCATTAACAAGAGAGACCAGAGTAGCAAGAAAATGGCTGTTCTACATTTCTTTGCTGCCTGCAGAGAAACCACATTGACTGTTGCAATCCCCTTCATCATAGCATTTTGAATTTCCTTGGGCTGTGTAAGTAGAGCTCTGTCTTCCTCCTTTGCTAGCTTCTCATAATGTCCCAAGGAGTAGTAATTTTTAGGGGCTTTATGTGCAAGTCTGAAATAGCCAACAAGCAAGGGCTATATACTTGTAGCTACAGTTTATGTTACCTAGCTGTAATCCTGCTATGTTTACTGTGAGTGTAAGGACATTTTCTACTTCAGATAAAGTTGACAGGCTCAGAATTGCTTTTCAGGTCACTGTTCTAAAACAAAAACAAAAACACTAGAACTATATTGCACTCGTGTATTGTTCTATTGTTTATTGCCTGGTAGAATTTTCAGCATTCCAGTAAAAATATTTTTATCCGTACATCAAAGCATTTTCTACAAATATGTAATGTTCAAATCTCATAAAACGAGGGCATGTTTATTTTTAATCTAATAATGTGGTCAATACTTGTACAGACTATGGGTAAAAAAGGAGATAAATACAGGTAATCCTTGACTTACAACCACAATTGAGCCCAAAATCTATGTTGTTAAGTGAGAAATTTGTTAAATGAGTTTTGCCCCATTTTATGACTTTTCTTGTCACATTTGTTAACTGAATCACTGTAGTTGTTAAATTAGTAACATGGTTGTTAAGTGAATCTGGCTTCCCTATTGACTTTGCTTGTCAGAAGGTGATCACATGACCTTGGGACACAACAACGGTCATAAATATGAACCAGTTGCCAAGCATCTGAATTTTGATCACATGATGATGGAGATGCTACAAAGGTTGTAAGTGTAAAAAATGGTCATAAGTCACTTTTTTCAGTGCTGTTGTAACTTCAAACAGTCACTAAATAAAGTGTTGTAGATCGGGGACTACCTATATCCTAATTTGAATCATACTTGAATCATTCTCTGGAAAATTTTCTGATTCACATTTCTCTGGAAACTCACATTTCTAATGAAGGTACTAGGTTGAGGGAGGCTGATATAGATTTAGAGTTATCCTTGTTGTCTCACAGAAATTCTGGAGTCTACAATTAAATAATGCAGAAAAATTCAAAATAGAAAGTGCCTGATCTATTTGGTGATGTGGCACAGGACTATTACTATGCATACAAGCAGAGTAATCCAACTGATGAAAAGAATCAGAAATTTTGGAAAGTTAAATATTTGTATGTAGGAAAAACAACAACTATTTTATTAGAATTTTAAACAACAAACAAAAACTAAGAAAAAGTAATATTTAAGATAAAAAAGAAAGTAAAGAAAGAAAAAAGAAGAAAGTCAAAAATGCAGAAAAAAGAGAATAATGTATACAAAGAAGTAACAAAAAGAATTATATAAAGAAATTATTTTTGACTACATTAAACAGATATAGTTCTTAATATTTTCAGTACATATCAAGTTGAATATAAACATTTTTTGTATTTATGCCTATAATTTCAACATATAACATCTTTTTAATCAGCTTATGTTTCCATTATATTTATAAAAATCATCTTAAAGTCATTATATGTCCTGTTCAAACTTTTTATTAAAGCTTAGTTTCCCCTCAGTATTCAGACCACTCTTATCAGTCATACTTTTCTCAAAATTAATTACTTTTAAATATCCAAACTTTTCATTTAAATACACCATCTCAATGTTTTAACATTTCATATATTCTAGAAATATTATACTAATTTTATATTATATATTATTGGAAGAAGAGAGGATCAAGAAATATATTACCAACTAACATATTGAGTAATTGTAGAAATTAATTGTTATTGATTGTTTTGAATATACGAACCCAGACAACACACTGTTCATGACGCATTAAAGATTGTGATTGTAAAAAATTAATAAAATATATTTTTTTAAAAAAAAAAATTTGAGTCCATTTGCTAAAATCATTGTTAACAACTTATAATCTTTATTCGTAATGACAGTGGTCTATAATTTCTTATTAGACTTAGATCTTGCCCCTCTTTACGGATTAATGCTACATTAGCCTCTTTCCACGTCTTTGGCATCTTTCCTCCCTGTAAAATAGAATGTATGTTTTGGAGGGGTGGTAAAAGTTCATCCTCAGAGGATTTGCAATAGGAATCTGATAATCCATCTGGTCCTAGTACTTTTCCTGGATTAATCTTTTTTATGACTTCAGAAACTTATTTTTATGGGAACATAACCTGTTTTTGCTTCTCTGTAAGCCTTGCTAAATCTTTGTTTTCCAAGTATTCATCTATTTTCCAAAGAAATATCATGTCCTTCACACAAATTAGAATAATAGTGAGGAAATGTTTTTTATATATAACTGCATTGTCCATTAATACAGTATCTCTTTCTTCAAGTTTCAGAATCATTTCCTTTTCTTTCTCTTTTCTTAGTTTACATGCTAGCCATTTCCCTGGTTTATTTGCCAATTCAAAATTCTTTTGCTTTGCATAGCTCATTTTTATTTCCATTTCTCTTGCTGTTAACATTGATAATTGTTGCTTTAAAAGTTTGATTTGATGTGCAATGCTTAAGTTCTCTGGCAAATTCTCTTTTCTTTTTATCACATCCAAAATAGCCTGTTTTCTCTTGGATCTTTTTAAGATTAGTGAAATAATTTGTGATGAAAGTTTTCTTGTATCCCAAATCATTCTTAAATTAATAACTTTATTTAAGTTGTTTATAAAAACTTTCTACCTGCAATCTTCTACTATTTTTGTAATAGCTTCTTTTTAATTTCCATCTGAAAGAAGTAGATATCCTTTTATCAACCAAACTCACAGGATTGTGATCAGAAAAAGTCTTTGGTAACATCTCAGCTTTAGAAAACATAGCCAGGTTAACTTGTTTTATATATTCAGACATTTGTTTTATAGAATTTTCCATCTTATCGAGCCTTTCATCCATTTTTTTTCAGGGACTATTAATCTGAATTCAAGTGACTGGGCCAATTTAGTTCTTAATTGATCAATCAATCAAGCATTTTCTGAAGTAAATTTAAATTGTTTTATCATCTTTCTTGACCAGCTGTTCCAAGGAAACTCTTCTACTCTAATCTTGCAGCCCATATGTTAAGCACAAAGAATTAGGACCATAGGTTAAATTGCAGTTCAGAAGATGTATTACTCAATCCTATACATAAGAATAATCTAATCAACTGAAGTTCAATACTAAATTGGGTGCCAGATAAGAGTTAACAGAATTCAAGAGAGGTCGGGCTAGACCATTTGTGAGAAGGTAATGATTCTAGGCTAATGACTTGTTTAATTCCACCCCCAGCTGTGCCTGCTCTTCTATATTCTTACTTAAAAATGAAAATGCTAAACAGAAGAGAAGATCAACACAAACTTCATTGACTCTTGTTTAAAGCTGTAATTGTAGACACACGTCATATTTGCATCTCCAAGGTTACCATCTAGTACTCAGTCTACTCAAATTATCTTCATAGTTTGTTTTGTAAATTCGACCAGTTATCGGGAGTCTTTTAGTGAAAAGCAAGAAGCATTCCCACAGAAGGTCTGAGTCAATTGTTTAATCCAGATAGGATTTTGGCAATGCAGTTTCGTAGAAAAATTAATCTTTTGCAAATAACTTTCCCCTTCATCCAATTTAAAGTTACTTATATCATCCCTTGTTAAGCTGTCTGCCAAAAATCAAATACTTACCAAGATAATACTTATGTGTTGTGAAAGGGAATCTCTCTCACACTGTACAATAAATATATCAAAATTTGATTAAGAAATGCAGGTTGACTGGTTGTTTTGTCCATATTGGTTGTACCATAGCTGTGAACGTAGATGGAATCCCATACCTCGCAATGAGCAAGCAAACTGCAAAAACTTTCAGTTTTACAGTTAACTTATAGGAGCATTTGTCCAGGGATCAAATGGGTTATTTCACATTCCCTTCTTTGTCTGGAGAGAATTTGGTGCCTCCAGTTTCTGATCTCTGCTGTAATACTGTCCTTGCTCTCTGAAGATGATTAAACCACTTTTAATCCTTATCAGAAACTGTACTGCATCTTTTAGTATGCCTGTTTATGAAGTCTTGTGAAAATCATCAAGTTTCAGGATTATGTTGTTAGACTGTTAGGGCTGCAGCAGCTCACTGTGTGTTACTGAAGTATAACCTCATGTTACAGAAATGCAAAACACAGTTTTGCTTTGCAGAAGCAATGGCTAAGAAGAGAAGAGAATTCTCTACATTCAAAGCAGATGTTGAAATAAAAGGTTGTACCAGATACCATACATGGGCATGACCAGCAAAACTCATTTGTGGTGGTGTTGTTGTTTTAATAAGGCAACCTGAGGCAATTGAATAAGAAGTATGGAAGTTATGCCCTATGAAACGCATTAAAACCCAGTGATGGATGGCAACCAGAGTTGCTTTCCAAGCTTATAGATTTATGTGTCCAACCCTTTCTTATCCATGGATCCTCTGCAATGGCTATTGGGATGTAGTAGTGAGCACAGTGAAGTCACTCCGATGATCTACAGTTTTTCTCCAGACCTTGCCTTGGATTCCCCTGGCACCGATCATTTTGTCATCATAGCCCAGCTGAAGGAAGAAGTTGCCACTTTGAAGAAAATGCTGCACCAGAAGGATCAGATGATCCTAGAGAAAGAAAAAAAGGTAACACCTTGAAACTCCTTGAAGGGACCCTTTGTTTCACAGCAGACTCTCCTGTATTGCTCAATGCATTGTTCACCCAGTGTTGCTTGAAGAGGAGGGGTCAGGATCTAACACCTTAATGAGACTCTAAGCCAGTGTTTCTCAACTTTAGCAACTATAACCCAGCTATGCTGCTGACTGGGGAATTCTGAGAGCTGAAGTCCAGACATCTTAAAGTTGCAAAGGCCGAGAAACACTGCTGTAAGCCCAGAACTGCTATGGGGGTGAACCCATGCTGTCTTTTCAGGGTTTGCATTTGAAAGTGATCTATGAAGTATTGGCTCTGTTGAGCATAACTTCATACTCATTGATCTGAGAAAAGCAAAGAAAAATAATCCATTCATTTCTTTTTCTCAGTATTTTTTAAAACATACAGCCTCCTTCCCAACCAGCAATTAAAACGTCAACTTATCCGTCTGTCTGTCTGTCTGTCTGTCTGTCTGTCTGTCTGTCTGTCTGTCTGTCTATCTATCTATCTATCTATCTATCTATCTATCTATCTATCTATCTATCATTAAAATGATAAACATTAAAAATCTAGCACCAAAGTTAAATTTTCACATGCATTCCATCACTAATCAGTCTCACACTGTTCCACACTTGGATGACTAGGACTGTGGGGGGGCTGCCGAAATTCAGGAGAAAGGTGTTCTTTAGGACAGGGACTATCAGAGAAAAATCACACTTCCTAAACCCCGTAAGACGGCAACATTTAAGGGAAGGGAATAGAAGCATGCCCATCCTATTTGACCTGATAAGACAGATGAATGTCCTTAGAGAGAGGCAATCCTGCAGATAACCTGGCTCTCTGCCATGTAGGGTTTAAAAGTAATAGCCAACACCTTGAATTCCACCCAGAAAAAAATTTGGAACCAGTGCAGCTTGCACAACAGAGGTGTTGGAGGTCTATAGTGGCCATGAACTCCTGCACTACCTCAGATCCCAGGCCCAGAGAAGGCAGATTTAAGTCCCAGAACTATAAGCCTGGGGAACTCCACTGCTTGCCCAGTCACAGTCCCAGGAACACAGGCAGGGATGCTGCTTCAGTGCAGGGAGGAAGGTAAGTGAGCAGCAATCCCCACTGATCCCTATGACCCAACCTCACAAAGAAGGTCTCACATCCCGCAATCTCTCGGGGCCAGTGGCCACTAGTGACTCATGAACGACAACAGCCACACCCTCACCCGGCCCTAGAATCATGGTTGGTGCCAGGCTTGAAACCCAGGAGGGCACGTTTCTGGGAGGGGAACTCTCCTTTGATGTCTTTATTTCCTTTTTTCTATCATTTTTATTACTATTGTATCTTTTAAACTATTCTACATTGTTGCCAAGAAAACAATACGGGGCTTGTCCATAAATCTACCAGGAGTCTAGCTTCATTTGAAGTTGATTTTATTTTTTCCCTGTTTCCTCTTAAATCATCACTTTGAATTAGCTGATTGGAATGATCGATGAGATCACGGCATGGAAAAAAGAATAGGATTGAGCAGGCAAGATAAGTAATCTTGTTTGAGGTTTAAAGCTGGAATTTATTGGTAGATAAGTAAAGCACTGGTTTGTATTTTTTCTCTTCTATGGGGTAAAAATATGGACAGGGACCAAAATGACAATCAGGGAAATAGAAACCTTTGAAATTTCGGGTTGCAAAAGATGACCAAAACTATCTCATTTTGAACATGGACAAAATGAGATGGTCCTCCATAGTATGGAAAAGATGAAGAAATTGTTAATAACATTCAAAAATAAATAAGAATATTTAGGACATATAATACACCACAAAAATTCCTGATCTGTCTTTCTGTCTGTCTGTCTATCTCGCACTGCAATCACAAACCCCAAACGTAATGCATAGCTTCAGGCCCTAAAAGCTTCTCAGAAAAGTTGTATCTTCAGCTTTTTCTGGAAGATAATATTGGAGATAGACGAATCTCCAGTGGGTGATGATTCCAGAGGTCCTGCCCCATCACGGAAAAACAACACTTCTGGGCTATTCCTGCATCCACCCCCCAAAAATCCTTCCCAAAATGGGGACAACCAGCTGCTTGTCCCAGCATGAAGTATCAGGCTGACTTGAGCTAGGATTATATGGTCCTACAGATTACCAGGCACCAATCCATAAAGGGGTTTAGAGTTATGGGAGATGCAGCACTCAAAAATGACACATATTCTGGCTGAAAGATATATCTGCATGGTTTGGCAAAAAAAAAAAAAAAGCAAGCAATGTCCTTCTTTTGGACAGTAACCCAAAGTAACAAATACTGCTGATAGTCACCAATATCCAATAGAAGATAATATATGATTTTTCTGAGGTTTTCTTCTCCCTCTCCCTCTCCTTTTTTTTTTTTAAAAATAGTGCCATTATTTCACTGGACATTTAGTAGGATGTGACTCCAGTGCTGGTATATTTTATTTATTTGAAAAATTATTTATTATAACAAAATACACATGCAACATCAATGTAGCCATTTCTTTATCTCTTGTTACTTGTTAACTTTTTTGTGTGTGTGCTCAAATACTGTGAACTCCATGTATATGCACTTATTTCACAGATACACCACCCAAGGATGGAGGCAGTATTCAGCTCTCTGAAAATGATAACAAAGTGACTTATTTTTTCTCTATCGCTCCAAAATATAGATTAGGGAAATGGAAGTAAGGTACCTTTGGGAGGCAAACCAATCCAAATTCCACCTTTTTTACTCTTCTGTCATCACGTATTAGGTTTATAATTATTTCTTTTGGAGATTGTGTGGAGCAGGTGGCCAGCTTTAGATTTCTGGGTGTTATCATAAAGGAGAACCTATTTCTTGAGACTTTTCAGGAAACAACAACTGAATGAAAAACTGCTGGTGACCTTCTAACGTTGCTCCATAGAGAGCATTCCAACCTATTGCATTTGTGTGTGGTTTGCTTGCTGCACAGTAGCAGATAGGAAAGCACTCCAGAGGGTCATTACCATTGCCCAGAGGATTATTGGCTGCCCTCCCCCCCCCGGACGAACTGTACAGTTCCCGTTGTCTTAGGAAAGCTCAAAATATTCTTAAAGACTCATCTCATCCCGGACATTCTTTTTTTGAACTATTACCATCTGGCAGACGGTACAGGATAATAAAAACAACGACAAATAGGCTGAAAAATAGTTTTTATCCCAGAGCTGTAACCATATGAAATACCACTGTATAGTGCAGTGATGGCAAATCTTTTAGAGACCAAGTGCCCAAACTGCAACCCAAAACCCACTTATGCATCGTCGGGTGCCGGGTGGGTGTGGCCCATTCGGTGGGTGTGGCCCATTCGGTGGGCATGGCTGCAGTGGTAACGGCAGACTGGGTGGGACTAAAAAGTTCAATCAATCAATTCCAACTTTGCAAGATCTTTTTTTTCCCGCGAAAATTTGAAATTGACTGATTGATTGAACCTTTTTTTTTTTTTTGCACACGACGACGGAGGCCTAAAGCGAAAAGGTTTTATAAAACCCAGCTGAAGGCCTAGGACTGGGGTGACGGCGCACGTGCCCACAGAGAGGGCTCTGAATGCCGCCTCTGGCACCCGTGCCATAGGTTCGCCATCACTGGTATAGTGCAACATTGAAGTGCAATATGTGAATAGAATGTGAAGGATGTGTGTATATAACGTATGTTCTTATTTGTGGCTTTTACTTATGTGTGGTGTGCACTGTGGACAGCACTTAATTTCGTTGTGAGTTACACAATGATAATAAAGATTATTCTGTTCTGTTCTATTCTATTCTATTCTATTCTAAAAGTTTAACTCCATTGTTCTCAATAGGGTGGTAGTAGTAAAAGAGACAAGGAAATGGCTTGTGTTCTGCCAGCGTGAAAGATGGCAGAAGGGAACCCGTGTAGCTAGGTACCTGTTTCAGTTTTCCAGCCAAATATATTAGGTGGTTAATAAAACCACCTCCTGTCATTCTTCAGCCTGGAACTGACTTAGTCTATTCTCCTGGGGAGGGGGGAATGTAGCATTATATTAGATCACTTCAGTGCAAATGCACCTCAGCAGCCCTATTTTGTTTGTTTTGGTTTGCAGATAACAGAACTGAAGGCTGACTTGCAGTACCAGGAATCCCAAATGCGGGTGAAAATGAACCAGATGGAAAAAACTCACAAAGAAGTTACAGAACAGTTGCAGGTAACCTGTTTCATTTGGCCTTTTTACGAGTGTTCACAAAATTCATTAGACTTGATTGCTACATCATGCTGTGCCAAAATGTGTTGTCTTTCCCCCCCCCCCTCAGTTTTGGCTTGCGTGAACCCAGCCATTGTGGTTTATAATATGCCATGTTATGAAAGTGTTTCCAATCTCTGCAGCTCAAGGATGTGGACTTCAACTCCCAGAATTCCCCAGCCAGCATGGACTTGTCCCTGCAGTCACCAGGAATCAGGATCCAATTTGGTCAATCACCAGGACCAGAGGTTTAATCTTCTGAGCTTTGGACTTTTGCTGGAGTCCATCCTCAGGAAACCTTTCTCTCACCAGAATGAGAAGTTCCCTGAGGATGGGATCTAGCGCGAGTTCAAAAACTCAGAAGACTAAATCTCTGGATCCAGATTGGATCCTGCAACATTATCCTGGGACATATATATTTGCTTTCATTCATCAGGAACCAGATTTGATTCAAGAGACCATAGCAATGTTAAAGAAACCATGGATTAGCAGTGTGCAAATCCAGCCATTTTGGCTTACTCCAGGGTAAGTTAGCCACAGTTTAGCATACTGAAATGTACATTTTATTCACACCTCTCTCTCTCCCTGCAGGCCAAGAACCGAGAGCTCCTGAAACAAGCTGCAGCTTTATCCAAGGGCAAAAAATCTGAGAAATCAGGAGCAATAACTTCCCCTTAAATTCAGGAGATCTCTTGCCCCAAGATGTCTCCCATGGTTCAAGAACCACACCTGGATTGCTACTCGTATGGACATGACAGAATCCTTTGAGATTGGCTATTCCATAGAGTGTGTCAGTGCTGCTTTATAAAATCTCCTCCTCCTGTCACAGGACAGTGATGAGAATGATTGGGAGGCTTGGCCCTCCTGTCTTCCAAACTCATGAACAAGCCCTTTTTAATTTAGCCATTTCTCTCCGACCATTTTTATCATCACTGCCTTGGAATTGATGAAGCAAGAGGGCCTGCTTGCTGATCGGATCTTCTACGGGATTCTACTTTTCTATTTCACAGGAGACCTAAAGTGGCCAGAGCCTGTTTTAAAAAAATTTCTAAAGCATTTTAAAATGAAAATTCTGCTTATTTTCCCTCAGTTATTGAGGACAGCTTGAGACCTTTTCTCTCAGGTTTGTAAATTGAGAATCGAGTTTCAACCAGCAATTCTCGGGCTTCTAAAAATTCAAGAGTTTTTTGGCAGAATAGTTGAATATATACTCATATGGATACCAGAGGTTATGAATTAATGTTTTGCTCATGTTTTTATGCTTCTTTAGGTAGCACTGTTTTTTTAGGCTGGTTAAACAGCTTTTTGTCATTGATATGTTGAGAGTGATATCAGGAATAGAAGTAGGCTAAAACTACTTTTCAGGTACATGGGGTGAATTCAATTAGTAACGCGTATACAACTATGCAGCTTTTCTTAATAAAAACAAAACAACCATTCTGACTTCCTTGGCAATAAGGATAAAGGGAATTGGGGGAAATGCTGAAACTAGAAGACAAAGGTTTTCTGGAATCTTGATCTAAAAGAAAAAGACACCCTCAAGTCAGGTTTTATGTGGCTTGCAAGAAAAGGAGATGGCTTTAAGTGCTGGGAGAGCACTCTAATGCCTGTGAACATAGAAATGAAAAGAATTCAGTGACTTTTTCAGCTCTGGTCCCTCGCTGAACCTCCTGAGAAATGGTAAGTTTCCAAAAGCAATGAGAAACTAGTTTGTTTTCAGTTTGCTCCAGGCTGATAAATTGGGGGGGGGGGGGAGAAGGGGTGTGTGTGAAGAAAATCATTGCAAAGAAATGCCTCACTCAGCAATTTGAGATGAGAAAATCACTTTTTTATATATAAGAGAAGAAACCTGCTGCTGTTGAGTTTCTGATGATTATCTTTAAGAAAAAAGGAAGACAACCTTGAATGTGGAAGCATGCAGAAATTGATACTGCACTGCAGGTTATTTATTTTTTTAATCTTTTGCTCTTTTTGGTAAGAACCCATTGCCTAAGAAAGAGCATACTAAATAGAACCTAATTTTTATACCTAATATATTTTTAGGAAGAATTGATTCATAGATATTTAAGTAGATTGTTTTCTAGCAATCTCTCCCCCCTACCTCCCAATTAAGAGGATAGTGATATTTCTGGAACAATTTAGGTGTTGTTTTTTTTCCCCTTCGTTGTGACAGTTCAATCATGCATTAAAGTGGGTGCTTTACTGTGATGTTCTTTCTGGGATGTATTAAGTTGATTTGTACAAAAGACATGCTAAAATATGCATCTGGGGAAGGGGGAATCTTACAGCAGCTTTTTGTTTGGATATTTTGTGTATGCCTTTCTGGATTGATTCAGCCAAAATAAGCTTTATTTTCTTTCTCTCTGAACTTGGGCCTGGTTTAAGCATTGCTGTCCTCATAAAGCACAAAGCGCTTCGGTGCTAGGGTGGAATTCACTATCTGTAGCAAATTAAACATTTTTTCATAATTAGGATTTATTGTTCAGTGTGTCCTCTTAAATCATCTTTCCCTTTCTCTGTAACTGTTTTATTGCTATAAAATGGCAAAAGCTTCTTGCAATTTTAATAGACTGAATTGCTTTCTACCTGCACTACGGTTGAAAAGTCTCTCAGTTTGGTTTATGTAGATGACATTTCCTGATCAGCATCTTACCACCCCACCCCCAAGCTCAGAGTGATGTTGCATGAATTAAGCAGCTAGCCGCACGTATGATAGGAGGACATAAATGACAATGTCTTAGGCTTAGGGAAATCTATACCCTCATTGCCTTACTCCTTCAGGAGGTCCACCACAGATCAGTAGATGTCCCCACCTTCACCAACTCAATGATGAAGAAAAATGTCTGATATGGCGGACTCTGGGAGGCGTCAGAAAGAAATTATATATTCCTAGATTGATTATAGGTTAGTAGTAACAGTTATTTGTTCCTAGTCAAGCAGGTGATTGATTGCACAGAGACTACTTTGGTTGAGGTCAGAAAACCTAGGCAGAGATATAGTTTGATGGGAGAGGGAGACCCTCCCAAAATCCCAGGTGTCTAGACTAGACTGGGAAGCTAAAATACATCCCTGAAGCAGGAACTCACTTCTATATTGTTGCCAAGAATGTTACATTGTAGCACTCAGGTAATTACCAGGTGTCTCCACTTAGGGACATTCTTACCTGTTTATACCTGTTCCTTGTGATACCAAGTGCAATGGCATATACGGTGCATCCTAAATGCAGGAAAGGGCAGGTAAAGTTTATGAGATTTGTTTTGGTGGTTTGGATTTGTTTTGTTTGTTTTTGCTTTTTGTTTCTTAAAAAAAAAAAATAGCTCCCTGAAATCTTTCCATGGCAAGTTAGTGCAAATGATTGATGTCTTAGAATTAAGGAGCTCTATTCTCATGAATAAAGATAAAAATTTAAAAATAGAATTAAATAGAAAAATAGGATCTTAGAGCATGATTTTAAGGAGAAATGCCAACACTAATTATTTCCAATAGTTCTGTTCAGAATATTTTACAGACAATGGCAATGGTTAATATAGCTAACAAACGATGACTTTTGAATATATGTATCCTTCAGTGTAAGGTTTTTTAAACTTATTTGGTTACTTTTTTAGCAAGAACAATTTATGATATTTAAATACCTCTGAAAGATGGAGTTTAGCTTTCTAGTATTTTGTGAAAACAAAAGAAGTAATAGAAGTTTAATCATTTCTTATATTTATATGCTTACGGAAATATGGATAAAAAACCAAAATCAGAATTCATAGTGAAATGTTGGATGCTTACTGGTTTTCATAGTTGCTTCAGGCTGTTTCCATTTTGTTGTTACTAAAATTATAATTTCTTCACTAACACAGTCCAAAAATAAATACATTTAAGTGGAATATTGTGCCATTTATGGATTATTTCCATGATCAATTCTTTTTTCCTCACTTTTTGATGACTTGCTGAAATAGATTTAAAAGGAATTCCATATTGCAAAGAGTTTGAGCAAGCTTCATTGGACCTCAGATCAATGTCTCAGAGGGTTTTTTTAAAGACTTTCAAGAGAGTATATTACTTTTAACAAATTATTTATCACTGATAAAGTTCTTTTGGCATTAAATGATGTACATCATTGTTCAAATATTAATGGTCTTAATTGATGAGATTTAGAAAGCTTGTATAGGAATGACTGAACTTGGCTTATTCATAGCCAATTTAAAACTTGTGACCAATCCTTTTGCAAAATATATTCAAAGTAACAGCATAATCTTCAGATCTATAAAATCCCCATTCCTTGTACTGAGTAGATTTATCTTCATAGTTGAGAAGAGAATAATTGGAGAATAATAAAATATCAGGCACTATTAATAGATTCTACCTTTCCAGACTTCTTAAATAATATTTGAGGATTTTGAGATAGTAGATAATTAATATCTTTTTATTCAGGTGAAACAGTATCACTTTAATTAAATCAAGAGGGAGATGTATTTATCCTTTAATTATTATTTTAATATGTAATCATTTTTCATTTTAAGTCCATAGCATCAAAATAATATTCCAAATTGGATATATCTAAGTCTCTCTCATGTTTTTCTTAATATTCTGTGGTCAACGTAATCTTTGCTTGTTTATCACTGTATATGATTGAAGGAAAAAATAACTTGCCAAATATGAAATAAAGTAGGCAATAAATTGGTATGCTTGGAATAACATAGAATTTTAGAGGAAAAGACATTTTCAGCTATTGTACCAAATAATGAGAGTGGAAGACATTGTCCTGACTTAAATCCTTTTTTAATCTTGAGCAGAAGAGAATCATTAATCATTAAAGCTTCTTTAGCTGGTGCCAATTGTTTGAAAAACTATGCCTATTTAAACTCACATGAATTAACATGAAATCCAGTAACTTTTTAAAGCTCATTTTATGCTTGCTTAATGTTAATTAACATGGATTTTTTTGTTTATTCTGCTATTCTGTGCTAATTGTTTTATACTAAGATACAACAGTCAGCTTCAACCAAATATGTTTGGGACTTTTATTTATTTACCAAAAATCTGTATATAATCTATTGATGGTAATTGCTACTCTACTTAACATCTTCAGAGCCCAGGAATTAGATCAAAGGACGACTACTACTTATTTAGTAGGGGGGGGAGATCCATTCTTGGTTATCTTCCTTCATCTCCATAATTCTGAACCAGTAAAACTACAGTTCCCACCATGCCTGACCTAAGGTATACACCTCTTCACCTGTCACACAGCTGGCAGCTCCCTGACTCTCTCCTCCAGTGACACGATGGGTTGCATTAGCCAGCAAGAGCTGGGTTTTTGTTAATTGCTTAGCTTTGCAGTCTGTCCCATGCTATAGCAGGATTAGGGCAGTGATCTCATTGAAAAAGGATGGCATGCACGTTAATAGCTGTCTGCTGTATAGCTTCCAAGTGCACTGTCTGGTAGTTGGCTTGTCCTGTTACAAAGAAATGGTAAGTGTGAGAATCCTCCAGAAGATTAAAAAGTATATGGGGGTAATAATTAAAGGAATATAGTGAGCCTTAATTCTAGAGTGAGCTAACTAGCTATCTGCTGTGAGCTCTGTGTGAGCATCGGGAAGGGCATCCGGCCAGTAAACACTCAGCTCCATTCTGTCACCCTGACTCCACCCCGACGCAAGGGATTACAGGGTCATGAAAAGAAAGAAAATTCTAGAGTGTGACATTTTGCCTAATTCTGAGGTCTTAACTGGGCTTTTCAAGCTCTATGAAGCAGGTCAGCCTCAGAGCAAAGGAAAGATCCAAGAAGAAGCAGTGGACACCAGGGTACTGACTTCTGTTCCCCATCCCTCTGGGTCTTTCTTAAAATGGTCTGAAAAATAGACTTTCTTCAGAAGCTCTCATGTTGGATCTGCATAAGATGCTTATCCCATTGATGAGTCCAAACATTGTCCTTTCAAAGAGATGGGTGTGATGCTCATGGGTAGGATTGCGATAACCAAACTGGGCATACGCAGGTTAAAGAGAACAGAAAATAACAAAATGTATTAAATCCTAAAACACCACTCCGGAGTTTTCATTTGCAGATCCTAATTGATGTTAACCTTGTATTCTAGCTTGAATTTAAAAAATGGTTCCAAAGTAGCAAACTATCTAAAAGTTGTGCCTCCTTTTTTCTTTGGTTCTCTCTCAGAGATTTCTCGAGGCCAAAAGGTGCTTAGCCAATGTCCACTCTCTGGTTCTTGCTTCAAGTGAGAGACAGCCTGGAGACTGAAACTGAAATGATAAAAAACAGATTTTCTTGGATCATTCACAGCAGGATTATATAGAATAAAGTCTATAGGTACACACTTTATTAGGCATTGCTCATATGCCACATGTATTCATTGCCAGCACTCATTGTAGAAGTATTTTTTCAAAGGAAACCTGTCATATTTTTAAGATACAAAATGGTCTGTTCCAGTTTCTCTGTTTGCATGACTGAGCCAAAAATTCACAGTGCAGAACATAATGAATTGATAAGGAAATTGATGAAGACAATTGCAAAAAGAAAAAAAGTTTATTTTCCCCCATCATTTATTTCAGATGAGTCTCTCCAGAGCCAGGCCTGGAAACTTTTCCTGTAGTGTTTCCATGTAGAGCAGAAAATAGCAACTATTTCATGGCTGAGTCCATGCAATCTGTTCAGCTACTTAAAGCTGAGTTATAGATCTAGCAGCTGTTTTGCAGAAGCTAAGCTTGGTTAGATTTATTTGTGGCTAAGTGTGTTG